AACCGCAAACCCCACCCCCCGGCCCCACGATTTCTTGAAGTAAACCATTCTGAAACGACGAAATATACGTTTTTATTATGACCGAGTTTTATCCCCAATGGATCAGCGATCTCTTATTTGCCACCGTGGCGCCGCATGGTGATCGATTTATGAATTAAACGGTAACCAAAATATGAAACGGGTACAGACGTAAATCACTTTTGTAACAAAGACTTACTGGTGCTGGCAACATTGTAAGGAAGGGCCACAAAAGGTTTTGCCTGTGATGAATTGAAGTTTCTGTAGTGGGTCTGATCACCATTACAGTAATCCAGCGTCTGGAAAACGACGGTCGCCAAATAAGACGCCAGTTCCTTGAACGTGAAAGCAGTTGGCGAACGCTCGTGGCTTCAGACTTGCTTTCGAGAACTGCTGTTATATCTGGAGCTCCTTCACTTTGATTATCTCCCGATCTTCGTTAATCCCCGTTTAAAACAGTACGACGGCCCCTGACACACGTCGACTTACGCGAGTAAGTTTCTAAGTCACGTCCGCTGAGCTAGATGAGCCCTTGTACTTATTCGGCAGAGCTTCTTAATCGATCCTCCCGTAGAAATAGCACGAGGCACAAACCCAATAGAAGTGTGACAGCCTCCACCTGTGCAGATGTGACGTGTTTGTAGACGCATTATCACTGGCACAAACAGCGCGTTTTAAATACGCCGTGACGTCAGGACTTCGCTTTCACATTTTGGTACATGCGTGGATGCTGCGACGAGTGGACCCTGCTTGGTCCTGGTCTCCATATGAAATCATCGGAAGATTTCGTGTGTTGTGCGTGCAAGAAGGGTTCAAGTGAACGGGTGATGATGTGCGAGTAACTCAGCAATAAGGATCTTGATCAGGATGTCATTAATTCTGTTCTTGACGTGATTAGAAATTAATTTTGAAGAAAAAAGAAGAACGCGATGTGTTGGCGGTTTATAATCAATCATGTTAGCGAAACAGCATCCTGATTCGTGTTGCCATAGCAATTGCCGTGTTAGCAACTTCTAAAGTAAACTCTCTTCTACATGGGACGACTTGTGGTTCGCTGCTTGTATACTTTTGATAAATCTACTTGTGGAGAGACCCCCCCTCCCGTTTCCCCTCTTCCCCCCTGTTTTTCTTCTGTGTGAATGTGATATGTTTTATTAAAATTAGATTACATGGATGTTCTAGTTGCTCTGTGCGTTCTTCTTTTGTTTGTGTTACCTTTGAATAAAACTTTAAGCAGAAATGTGAGTAGCTAGAAACAGAGCAGAGAGAGAGAGAGAGAGAGAATTATGAGAATGTATGAGAGCGAAATGAACAATCGACCGCCCGCAGAGAAGTTTTGTTTACTTTTTTATAAATTCTCTTCCAGGCATGAGCGGGAATTCCATTACTGTATGTAAAACATAAAACATAAGGACCTGTGGACTGAAAACAGGCTGAGGAGAAAGCTGGTTGCCAGAATCAGAACTCAGGCCGCCAGCCACGAACCAAACACGCGCCCTCGAATGTCCAGCGGTGGAAGGCCGGGGGTTTGATTCCCGGCAGCAGCGCCGCTGGTTGTGGGACCGTCGACCCCCAGCAATTACATTTCTCAAACTACGACTTCATCCTTTTTACGACTCCAAATATACGACGGCAGCCCCCCCTCCTAGCAGTAATTTACGAAGGGGGTTATCGCTAATATAAGAAAAGGTCAACTGACCCACTCGAGAGACCTTGTCCCTGCAGGTGGACGACAGTGCCCTCAACTTTCGTCTTTCATGTTGGTCACAAAACATTTCCATCAACAGCATGCAACTTCGGTAGTTGATACATTGACATAAAATAAACGCCCAATGCTCACATACCTGTTGCGCTTTGTAATGGTCTATAAAAAGTCAACTTCAATCTACCACACCACGTCTGTGGAGAGGAACTAGCCCGCCGTGGTACTCCTTGTCTCTGTCTGTGGCCCAGCATCCAGTCACACGCGTCCAGCACAGATCCCACCTTAAGCAGTCGCGAGATTCTGTTGCGCGGCTCGCCATGTTTTTGTGTACAAGAAGAATGGTAATTTAATGCAGCGGCTGTATCAAGAAACCTGCAGTTGATTTGGCATAATTAAAAATAAGTCTACTTAATTTCGGAGAAGTGCGCGTCCCATTCATTAAAACTGCGAACGTAAAACCCAACGAGAGAAGTTCACACTACCCAAGGGTTTGAGGACGCCGTGTTTCTACAGCGATGAAGATCCTAGCACGTGGTGGCCGCAAACGTCGCCTGACTTCACCGTCCAGGATTTCTGGCCACGAAGCTTTTGCGAAGGACGCATCAGAGACATCGTTGAAGCGCTGAGGATTCGGTAAACACGAACCACGTGGACGAGAGCTCGCTTACAATTGGCCGTTCTTACCTTCACCGACGGAAAGTTATTTGCTGTTCACTGCGTGGCAATTCTGTGTTATTTAACGACGGCTTCGGTTCAACATAGCGCAGTGTAATGAATATTGAGTAAATTAAGTTTTGGAAGCAAGCGGTCTTGGTCTGTTTAAGGTTCTGCTATGCTGTTTCCAGGGAATGCTGGGGAAAATCACGAAGAAACCTCTGTCAGGATATTCGAGTCTGTTTGAACCGGGTGCCTACCGCTGTTTCCAACACGAGTATCCGTGTTCCCTTCCCCTGACAGAGAGTTCTCAGCTGTAGGTCGTCGACGTGAGTTTCGCCTGGAGCAGCGAACATAAATCCTGATCCACAGGGAAGAGATCGCCCACCGCCGACGCCGGAGACCGCAGAAACAGCTCTTCGTCGTTTCCTCATTCATTCAATCAATCCATCTTCCTCATTCCTTGTTCTCTTAATCTCAGCACCGGATGAAGCTTCACGCATCAGGCGCTGTACTCCAGAGCCAATGGCATAAATCCCTGTCTCCCGGAGCTTGGGCTTCATGTAACATTCCCGACCGAGGACTTCAGGAAGCTGTGTTCCATAATTCGTAAGCAACATCACAGATATCATAAATACAAAAAATTCGTATTTCATCTTTCGCCCTGTGCTGCACTGTCATGACAGATAGAGGAACTTGAAATGGATACATTCACGTTGAAGACAGTAGCGCCGTTTAGTGTGGTAGAAATTTACACACGTTTCGGAGGCCCTTGCTGCCTCCATCGTCAGGGCAATCGCGTTTATAATGGAGGTAGTATGTACCTCTGAAACGTCCAAGTCCTCACGCGTTTTCTTTGTCACGCGTTTTAATATTATTCTCTAAAAAGAAAACTGTTGGTAGATGTTCCTAGAGGTCTGGTCCCTTCATGAAGCAGGAAGCTGTGAAAGATGACGCTAAGGAAACAGGGCGTCGCGTCTGGAACGGCGCACCGAGCGAACTGAGTTTCGTTTTCGAGGTTCAAGGCGTTTTTGCTCTTTGTTCCTTGACGTTTTGCTGACTCGGCAGCAGAAGGCGTGTGAGGCCTCGTTGACGGCGCTGACTGTTGCTTGCGTGTCTCTGGGACCAGGTGTTCCTCCGGATTCACTTCATGTGGCGCTCTCGGGCCGCGCTGACTTCGGCGATAACCGAGCTAGGGCGCGTGGGTGTTACCCCTGCAGATTGTGGACGCAGTGTGCCTTATCACACACTCAAGCTAATTTCATTTCATTCGACGCCAGAGTCTCGCATCGGCTGCGTGTTTGCAGTTCTTCGCATGCCGAACGTTCCTCGTGCGTGTTCTTCGGGTATGTTCGTGGACTGTCGCCATGAATCGCTCCAGTATGTCATTGCAGTCGACAGAAGCTCTCGCCTCTGACATATTCTTGCACAAACCATTTATAGCCGCCCATTAAGAGGCTTGCTTTGGTTTTGAGGAATCTGTAAAGCGAAAATAATTTCGTTTCTGTTCGTTGCTTTCTAGCTTGTACTGCACGAATCCAAAACCAACATTTACGGCTCTGTCTTTCAGGACTCAAGCACTGAACACTGAGCTGGTACAGTCAATAACAAAATGTAGACATCAGAATCTAAAACTTGTCCTTGAAACTGTGTTTACGCAGTGTGTAAGAATTTCTATACAGTCTCTCGCGACGGTTTCTTCGTACAAAAAATTAGCACTTCCGTTTTCTGAGCGAATGGAGACTCTTTGAAAACGAGCGTGAACTTCTGAGCTGCAACGAAGCGAAGTACATCATCTTTTTTATGTTTCCTTCAAGTCAGTGTATTGATTACCAGGTCTCATAGCCACAAACAAGTAAACATCGTATATCTCTCTCTGCTGTTCGTTCTGAAATGTTGTGGTTCGCCAAGGTTAATTCAGCGCGATAAAGTACACACACTGACGTGTTTGCCTTTGTGTTTGGAAGATCCTACTTTCGATTTTTGAGGCCGACTAGTCCAAGGAGAGAACTTTTGAATTCCTAGCACCAAAGGTCTGTCGCAATGACTCCGTGGAGCAGAGTTGTTTCGTAGAAGCTGACAGTTGAATAGCTGTTTGGAAAATTATTCGACTTTTATTGTTCACGCACTGAGTTATTCAGCCGAATGGGTAAATCCATTGACTTTTCAGGTTCTCATGGCGGTGATAACGCAGTGACAGTTTCCGGCATGTTGTGCAGTGTAGTCTAATAGACGTTTATGGGCGGTTTAGAGGTGATTGCTGCTTCCATTATTATAGTCCTGATGATGGAGGCAGAATAAATCCATCTTCAGTTATGTCTGCACCCACACGCTCTGATATTTTCAGATCCGTTCCAGATTTTCTGACTGAATTAATTAAAAATGAGGGGGAGGGGGGGGGAGGTCATCAGATGGGACGCAATTTGCTTTCCATTCGAAGTCACAAGTAGCAAACAATCTTTGACAGTCAGCGGATGTAAACATGTTTGCCCTTGAAGTTAGTCCTCCGTGAGACAATGCGCACTTGTTTACAGTCGCTTAAGTGCACACGAAAATCGATGGCTGTAGCAAAGGACAGCGGGTTTCATTTCGTGTCTTAAGACGCCGGTCGCGTTAACTTGTCTCGCATTTTACACCCATACAAAACAACGGGTAATTCTGTGCCTTTTTTATGTGGGATACGAGAAGGAAAGTGGTTCTGAACT